GGATAAACCCCATAGACATCAGCAGCATGAGAATACAGGAAAAAGGACAGGAATCTATCACAGACAGGCTCTGAAAGACTCTACAGATCAATGTCTCCAAGCAGAAGCTGAGACTCACAGCCAAACTTTGGGCAGAGTGCAGGGAATCTTATGAAAGAAGGGGAAGATAGCAAGACCTGGAGGAGACAAGAGCTCCAAAGTGATATCAACAGAGCCATAAAAACTGAGCCCTGGGGTCTCTGCAGAAACTGATACCCCGAACAAGGTAAACTCATGGAGAGGACCTAAAACCCCTGCTCGGATGTAACCTATAGACTCAGTCTGCAACTGCGGTCCCTAGTAAGGAGAGCAGGGACAGTCTCTGGTATGAACTCAGTGACAGGCTCTCTAATCACCACACTCTGGGGGACTGCAGCCTTGCCAGACCACAGAGGAAGACAATGCAACCAGTCCTGATGAGATCTGATAGGCTAAATCAAATAGAAGGAGAGGACAACCTCCCCTATCAGTGGACTAGAGGAGGGGGAGAAAAGGGAAAGAGAGTGGCATTGGGAGGAGATGAGGGAGGGGGCCACAGCTAGGATACAAACTGAATAAACTGTAAATAATAATAATAATAATAATAATAATAATAATAATAATAATAATAATAAAAGAAAAAATATCGGCAAAAAGAGAGTTTGATTATCAGTCCACTTAGCAAAGTAAAGACAACAAGCTATCCCCTGCAGCCTGTGACCTCCCTAGCTGATAGTTCTTGGTCAGGCTTAAAGGACTAGTTATGACCTCATTCCTCTGGTGCTTCCAAATAGTACAATGCAGAGGCTCTTGAATATGCAGCTCTAGACGTGGTCATGGGCAATCAATCCATGGCCATGCCCCCCGCCAAAGTGATTCATCTTTCTCTCAGCAGCCATCAAACCACTAATAGATCCTCACCTAGAGATGAGGTTTCCTGAGATCCTACCTCGTCTATGTTAGAATTTTAACTGGCTCCATCTTCTGCCAGTCTGATAGAGCTAAACAAAGATGCTCTAAGTCCATCTGTGCAACAGACAAGCTAGATCCAGGAAACAACATAACACAATTCTCATGTCCATCCTGCAGCTCTTACATTCTTTCTGGCCCCATCCCATCTTTGATGTTTTCTGGCCATGTGGATAAGCTGGGGACACAAGAAGACCATTTTTGAAAGTATTATTAGACTTAAGTCTAAGGGGAATAAGAAAAAAAAAATGTCTTTGTTTTTATCACATGTACCTTTTCTTTGGGTCTATGTCATTGCTAACTTAAGGCATCCTCTCACTGTTTTCTATAGCTATGTCTTCTCTTATAGGACCCTCATCTTGAGAGAATCTACAGCTTATTTTTTTTTTTACTTTTTTCTATTTATTTTCCATTATTTCTTCCCTCTTCTTAGCAGCAACATTTCTTTTAGTCCATATTTTGTGTGTGGGGCCTTTGTCAGAGATATATTCTTTTTAAGGCTTTTAGGATACCTGCAATAATTCACACAAGAGAACAGGACAGCAATGGAGAGGTATACAGACAACTATCATTTTACTTGTGAAATATCTGGCACATGGTAGCTACTTCAACACATCATATACAATGTTGCCTCGAAAGAAAGTAAGTAATATCAAGTGATGGTTCTAATTCCATATTGTAATCAGGAATATAGTTAACTTCACCTGAATACAAAAGGGATGTGTAGGCTGGAGAGATGACTTGACAGATAGAAATGCTCACTGGTCTCATAGAAGAAATGTATTTGATTCTCAGCACCCATGCGGCAGCTTATTAAAAAAAAAAATGCTGTCCTCTTTTGGCCTCCACATTCTCCAACATACATAAGATGCACATGAAAGCAAACACACACACATAAAAATAATAAAAACTTATACATAAGTCTGAGAAAGCAATCTGCATTACTTTTGAAACTTGCAAGGGTCCTATAAACATAGGGATAAGAAAAAAAATACAGTTGGTTCTAATATAAGCACAGTGACTTATATTTATCATTAAGGGAAATTTCTATCAAGAATGATATGTTCTTTATAAAACTTGCACTGCAAGTTTTCAAACATCAGGCCATTAAATAATTTGTAACATAAAGAAAATGATATGAACAACTCCCACGGATAGGGAATTCCAACCGTTACTGCAAGAGTAACAAAGGTCCACCAAGATCCTTTTAAGAATCACCGAGCACTACATTCGTTTGTATTTACTATTCTAGTTTAAGTCAAACACTAGTGTCAAAATATGTTTTCCATGATCATTTCATTCCATTTTCCTCCCTTGCATTCAGAGGTAACATGAGACAATTCTTTTTTTTTTTTTTTTTTTTTTTTTTCTTCCATAAAATTTTTATTTCAGTTTTTTCTATTTTGTGGCAAAATACACAACGGGCACAATTTTAAAAGAATTTAGGTTTGGCTTATGATTACAGAGCCTATTACATACTTTTATGCATGGTTGGCACTGTCCTTTGTTTTTAGGATCTAGTGAGGTGGAATTCTGTGGTGGATAAGAGCAGATTAGCTCATGGCAGTGCACGAAAGGAGAGAAATTGAGCTCATTGAAGAGATAGAGTCAACAAAATTTCGATTTATGTCAAAGAGTTTTGACCTCTTACTTTCCACTACATTTCAATAATGCCATCAAACTATAAATCCATGATTTAACTTAATAATGGTGTCAACCCTCATAAATTAGTTAACTATGGTTGGATTTTCCAGATGAGAAACAAGTCTTGCAGAAAGGACTTTTGAGGACACATCATAGCAAAGTATAACATTTTGTTCCCTCCTATAGAAAATTCCATAGCTCCTTTAGTGATAAGATTTTAAGCTGTATTCTAAAAATATCAAAATATTCTAGTAATAAAATGTATGATACCAAAAATGTCTGTTAGGCCACAGAGGAGGACTTTGCAGCCAGCCCTGAAGATACCTGATAAAACAGGGACAGATGAAAGGGGAGGAGGTCCTCCCCTATCAGGGGACTTGGAAAGGGGCAGGGAGGAGACCAGGGAGGGAGTGTGGGGTTGGGGAGGGAATGAGGGAGCGGGATACAGCTGGGACACGGAGTTAACAAAATGTAACTAAAAAGAAAAAAAAAAATACAATATGAATTCACCTGTAAAAAAAAAAAATAAAAAATAAAAAAAAAAAAAAAAAGACCAAAAACAAAAATACAAAATCAAAACAAAAAATATTATGACTATGGGGCTGGTGATTTGGGAGGAGACATACTATCTTGATTTTATGCTCTTGTAATGAGACGAAGGCATAAGGAATGAAGTCATTGGGTCTTTTGGCCTATTATTTTGTCAAATGAACTGGAGCTTGGATTGGGAGAGACTCTAGGAGATGGCCTGAAGAATGGTGTGAGCTTTCACTGATTTAATAGAATTTATATTCTGTGCAGTAGTCTGGTCCATCCTGCAAATACGTATCTTGATACTTTACTTAATGTAACACATTTTTGGTATCATACATTTTATTACGAGACAATTCTTTGTATGATTTTTTTTTTTTTTTTTTTAGAAATGAGATTGTCTAGTTAAAAGAATGTAAAATTAAAGCAAGTTTTAAGTTCCAGTGATTAATAAAATAATTTGATCTGGCTTCAATCTCCTGAACTTTCAAATTCTAACAATTTATTTTCTGTTTTATCCCAGAATGTGGGTGTTGTGAGACAGTGGTGTATACTAAATTTGGAGCCAAGTGGACATGTGTTTGAACCCTGACTCATAACCAGTAAATCATATGGCCATGGAAGATTTCTTTACATTTTACTCTCAGTTTCCTTTCCATGAAACAAAGATGGCAGTTTCTAAATCAATGTTTTTTCATAGGACTTAAGATCATCTATCATCAATCCTGGTATAGTACTTGTACACATGGTAGGTATATGAATAATAGTTATTCTAATCTTCTCCAAAAAAAAAAAAAAAAAAAAAAAAACACTCCTTGACTACAAGGTATCATAGCCTAAATTTTAATATGAGCTTTTCCTGATTTCTAGGAAGTAACAGCTACATAAACAGTATATAAATAAATACATAACCAACATCTTAGGAAAAAAAAAGCCTTATTTCTTTCAAAGAACTAAGAACATTTTTCATCAAAGCTCTTATGAAGTGAAGGAAAAGCCTACTTGTCTATGTTCCATGTAAGTGGTCCAAGACAGCAGACAGTGTTTGCATTTTTACATACGAAATATTCTGGTATCAGTATTGCAGGCTGTACCTGCTCAGGAACCATAAATATTATTGGATTCTCAATTATCATTGTATAATCCTCAACTCCTATATCTATATCCAAGCTCCAGGTCTGCTAAGAAGAATGTTTTTAAGAGTGTTTATAAAAATGGCTGCAGAATTATCTCTCAAACTCTTGAATTTTAAAATTTTTTCTACATTACAAATTATAGAAAAGTTATCAATGATTACTATCTATAAATGATCATTCCTGAAGTTAATATAACATGGCTTATGAAAAGAAAATGAAACCAAAACTTTTCAAATATTCTTGGCATATCTTACCTCCTAGAGTTAAATATGGGTTAAATTCTAAGGTATTATGAGACCACTTCCACCATCATTTCTCTTGATTCTCTACTCCAGGAGACAGAGTAGAGATGGCATAGAGACAGAGAGCTTAAGAAACCTTCTCTAGGTATCTCCCTACACAGAACTCTGCTTGTATGAGCTCAAGGCTTTTTTCTCTGTGTTCTACATTCAGAACTCAGGTAACCGCTTCCCAGCCAGCAGTTCTCTCTTTCTCTCTCTCTGGAATGAAGGATAAAGTCAGAAAATTACTAAAGATCCTTAGGAAAATGAGATTCTCTAAATTTTTGGAAGGAAAAGGAGGGAAAGGTGTACTCAGGATATCCAGGACAAAGATCTCATTCCTGGATTTTTGAAGAGAAAGGAACTAAGTGAACCAGTTACCAAGACAACCAGTGTTGGGGAGAAGGGTTGGGACAGGGAAATGGGTGACCTATGGGTACTTTTGTTTTTGCCTCTGTCCCTGGTAGCTTTCCATGGCGTCAAAGGCTGTTTGGAATGTGACCCCAAATTCACAGAGGATGTTATGTTCTTGTTGGAAAACCTTGTACCTACAGACGTTCCTGAAAGAGATCAACTGCTTCAAAGGCAGCATAAGGAGATATCCCACTTAAGCTCCAAGGTCTCCCACAAGGATGTGAATCTTCGGTTGTTGGGTGAGGAAAGTTCGAGTCCTGAGAGATTGGGAGGTTAAAGAGGGAAGAGCGGCATGGAGGACAACACGTGGATCCACTCCAGATCCCTCAGAGATGTGATTGTTCCCTGCCCCACACTGTTCTTTCTTTCCTATATAGCTGTTCGAAATGTTCTCAAATTGAGAGTATGGCTGAAGAATGAATTTTATAGACTGGGAAACGAAACATGGAAAGGTAAGGCATTGTTTCACTGTCAAAACTTTTGTGATACAAACAGGTAAACATGTCTGAGGAAATGTCATGGGAAACAAAGCAAAATAGCTGAAATTAAATTGTGAAATAATCACCATAATTTTTAGTATCACTTCCACTCCTTTTTTTTTTTTTTTTTTTTTAGGGGTCTTTATCTTCCAAGGCAAGCTCCTTGAGGTCCGCCGAAACTTGGAATACAAACTGAAAGAAATGCTAAAGATCTTCTCTGAAGTTGGTAATGAGACATTTCTAACTTACAACACTGAAATTATGTCAGAGAACAGAAACTAAGGAGTGAGAAGAAGAATGAGGGTTCTGGTCAAAGGGGACAAGGTGCAGTGAGAAATGAGTAGACATCTGGGATCAAACAGGTATATAAGTGACACAAGTGAAGTTGGCTCTAAACTCATTAGATCTCTCTGCTTCTCTTGCAGCTTGTTCAGAAGACTGCAGTGAGTACAGTACATGTGGCACCGTGAGGTTTCAGCCCATATTTTCCCTTCTCCTTTCTCTGCCTGTGTTTTCTCCCAGAATATACACTTTAAGCCCAATTTCTAGAGCTGTAGGGGAAATATCAATCAATAAAATATCTGATGCCAAGCCCAAGCATATAAGATTTCACACACCCCAAATTTTGAAGAGGTGTTCAAGCGCCTCCTCAACACACTGCTCCAACGTGAGCTATGACAATATTTCTCCACTTCATCCACAGCCAAATATTTATAACTTTAAATTTTAAGATCTTTATTACTAGAGGAAGGATTCTGAGAACTGTAACTTAAGAGCCCTAAGAATGCCTGGGATCTAAACTATATTTATGAGGCAAGGAACACCCTGGCCATATCCCTTTTATGATTCTATTTTTCTTTGTCAGTTATAACTGAAGGTCCTGTCCTTGACTGTTGGACCTGTCTTCGCTTGACCACCCGGTGTTTCAGTGGAGACTACTGTAAAGGTGACATATGGCACTTTTAGGGGATAAGGATCAATGAACACGATGACACATTGATTTTTCTGAGTACTTTTAATAAAGCTTACAGTAATGCTTTAAAAAAGCTAAACTGTTAAGTAAAAGATATATTAACATGAATAACTTAAGACAAAGCCAGTGGGGTGGGTAAGAAAAGAATAGGGATGGATTCTGGACTCCACTGTAGAAATTATTAGGATTATGGGCAGCAAGTGGAAAATTTGTGGAGGGGTCTAATACATGGAATCCAGGAATAGTGATGAACCAGCCAATGGTCAACTCATTTGAATTGTGTCTATTTTACATAAAGAGTCCCAGTTATTAATCCTCTTCTTCCAAACTCATTTCTCTATTTCTTTTTCCTTCCAGATGAGAATCCAAGAAGAGCTGAAAATCGAGAGATTGCTCTATATCTGATACTGTTGGCAGAAGCTGTGATATTGGCAAGTGCTGTGTTACTGTGAGTTTTCCACACTCCCAGCATTTCTTTGCAAATTCCCAACATCCTCCTCCCTAATGGAGAAGGGGAAAGAAATAGACAGAAGCCGATTGTGAATAATAGATGAAACACAAAGTAATCCAGGAATAAAGGAAAATAATTATATGATTATTCTTAAAATACTGCTTCTTACAGTGAAGAACTGACTTCTCTCTTTCTCTACTCTAGATTCTATTTTTGCATCTCACATTGGAAGAAAATGAAGCTAATACGAAGGACATTGAAGACATATTTGGAGAAGAAACTTGAAGAATTAGTAGGGATGACAGATACGGATGATGAGAAACAAGATTGGGAGACACAGAAATCAAATTCACAGTCTCTGACAAGGGATCTTTCAGGTGTTGAGTCAAAGATGCAAACTGGGACTTGAATTTCTGCGTGATCATGAAATCACAGCGTCTGAAAACTGGAATAGAACTTAGGGTTTCTCCAGTGAGTATCCTTACTGACAATCCCAGAGACAATGGATGAAATGAGAGGAACAAAAGATTTACCCTGAGTTATACAGAACGTAAACTGCTATGCTGCAACATGCAAGAAACAACAGGCCATGTGATAATAAAAATGCATTGTTAGTAACTTTCCTGAATGGCAGTAATTAGGGCAACTTCCATGTTTATAAACCTGAATTTTATTTCTACTTTTATTTTATTTCCATTTTCATATCTAACATCAGGGTCAATGTAGATGATTTCCTAGATAACAGATATTTAATCTTTATCATAATATCATAAGCACATACATATGTGTAAAATAAAGTCCAAAAATACTAGTCCTGAGTAGCTGAGGTTTGTCCCTATCATTTTCTTCTAAATCCATATCTCAAGGCAAAGTTGGATATTTTTTCCTTTTCGTGTGTGTGTGTGTGTGTGTGTGTGTGTGTGGTGTACATGTGTGAATGTGTGTGTGTGCTGGTCATATGTGTGTATGCCTGCTCATGTGTGTAAGAAAGCATATGTATGAAGACATATGTCAGTGTGTGTGTGTGTGTGTGTGTGTGTGTGTGTGTGTGTGTGTGTATACCCCCATGGGTGCTAGAGTCCTTCTCTTCCTAGAATTCCACCTGATTCTTTGAGGTTTCTCATTCAAACCTACCTGATCTTGCCAACATGGCTTGCCTTCCAGTCAGTTGTCCCCAAATTCTGCTTTCTCGGTTTTCTAAGGCAGAAACTAGAAATGACCTGCAACACCCACACATTATCTACTTGGATTCTGTGGATCCAAAGTCTGGTCTTCTTGCTTTATTCACCAAGTCATTTCCACAACCCATAAGTTTTTATTTCATGTTTTTTTTCATTGAGTATCTTTATATGAATATTATCCCAATTATTGTAATATCCATGTAACTATCATTATGTATTGTACGACAGCTAACATTTTTCAGTGACTTAGGGCTCATCCACAGTATCTTACTCTGATGTATAACTCCAATTCATGGAATAAATAATTTATGTTTACGTTGTTTTACTTTTAATTTCAGAAATAAAATAAATGCAAGATAAAAGAACTTAAAAATTTGTGGTGACAGTGTTTGTTTTAGAGCAATATGTTATTATTTTCACTTATTAATATCTCTGGACATTTAAGGCAGACAGCATGGTATATTTTCGTACATAGAGTGAACTGTGTAATGTCGCAACCATGTATTATATTGGCAGCTTTTCCCATATCATTCCTCTGCTATGTACTCTTTCACTAATCTGTCTTTTAAAATAATGTCTATTGTATTTTCATCATTCTTTTAGATTAAAAATATCCCTTGTAGCTGAAGGGATGGTTCAATAGTTAGTAGAACTTGCTGCTTTTTCAGAAGATCACAGTTCCATTTCCAGCACCTACATCTCACCTTACTTGTATCGATAATTCCAATTCCAGGGAAGCTGGGATCCTCTTCTGACCTCTGCATGTACTAGGTTCACATGCAGTTTGCATAACATACATGGAAGTAACCCACACATAAACATAAAATAAATATGTCTATGTGAGTACTGCTTGCATGCCTGGTGCCATTCGAAGCCAGAAGAGGTCATTAACTCCTGGCACCCTTATTGCAGCTGGTTCTGAGCTCCCAAGTGTGTGTTGGGAACTGAAGCAAGTTCTTCTGCTAGAGTAGCCGAAGAGCTACTCTAAGCTAATCCATCTCTCAAACCCCCTTTTTTTAACATATATATTATATCTTGCTTCATTAGTTTAGCGCTACTAATACTTGTATGTTCTTAGTGTTGACTTCTCAAGATTGGAGAACCTATCAGGGACTGGTGTCTATGTAAGACTTATTTTCTCTGTGGCAGCAGCCATTAACAACCTGTATTTCAGAAAGCTATATTGTGAAACATGTGAAATCCAGCCTGATATCTGTAAAAAAAAATGTATGTTCAATTGCATAATTATTAAATAATCTTATTAAAATAATTGACATGAGTGTGCCTATCTGCTTCCCAGTATCTATATTAAAAATAAGTCTTGTATAGACACCAGTCCCCAATAGGTTCTCCAATCTTGAGAAGTCAACACTAAGAACATACAAGTATTACTAGCACTAAACTAATAAAGCAAGATATAATATATATGTATATGTAAGTTTTACAATAATATATACTATACAATAATGACGGAAAAGGGCACCATGGGTTTGGGGATGGGGGGGGCAGTGAGAGGAATTGGAAAGAAGGGAGACAGGGAAAATGATGTAAATACAGCTCACATAAAATTCTTAAAATAAATTTACTATTTTAAAAATAAATAAAAAAAACAACACAAAATAAAAACAAAGCTCTCTGGACATAGTACTACTATGCAGGAAATTTTATATGAAGTTGTTCTTTTGAAATTACCAAATGCCAAATCACTTAAAGAATTTATAATATTTTCAGTATTTTGTTGTAATTAAACTTTGTTTTCTGGGTCTTAGAGAATTTAAAGGAATAGCTATTAAATTGAAACAAACACCTTGAAAAATAGGGAAGCAATACTTGGGAAACCACTACAAGAAGCATTTTTAAAACATTCCCTGTCCCTCAGGCTTGATCTGCTCTGTTATTGGTACTATCGTGCTCTTTATGATTTTTAATGTATAAAATTTCTTTTTATTTTATATTTTTATTTATAATTTATTACAATTTACTCACTTTGTAGCCCCACTGCAGCCACCTTTCTCATCGTGACCCAGTCCCATCCTTCCTCCCTCTTCTCCCCTGCACCCTTCCCCTAGTGCACTGATAGGAGAGTTCCTCCTCCCTTACTATCTAACCCTAGCCTATCAGGTTTCATCAGGACTGGCTGCACTGTCTTCCTCTCTGGCCTGGCAAGGCTGCACCCCCAAGGGGGAGGTGATCTATAGAGCCTGCCACAAGTTCATGTTGGAGACAATCCCTGCTCCCTTGTTAAGAAACCCACTTGGAGACTGAGTCTATGGGCTACATCTGAGCAAAAAAAGGTAAAAGAAATTATGAAGATATTATTATTCAATATTTAGCCTAAAACTAGTTTCATGTCAGGGAAAACAGAAGATTTGATACCTGTGTTTAAAAATTGCCAAAAGTTGTTAATAAATTGATTATTTCACATTTCTTTATCTAGGAATCCCTGAAATGCTCAGAGAGGATCCGTTCTACATAGTAGCACAAAGTCACAACAGCATTCTGCTCAAACAATAACAAAGGGTAGAATTCCCATCAGATCAGCTAATGGTGGCACAATTCTTCCAACAACTCATTACTCACAATAACAGAAGAATATAGAAGAAGCTAAATGTTAACATTGTTTCAAAAGGGGTAATCAACAAGGTTTTTATCATATATGTACATGGTGGTTTCTGTGTTCAACTAGGTTTTAATCATACATGTGTTCAGTGCTGTCTTCATGTTTTGTTATGAGACACAAGGGTATCTCACAAAAGTAGAATAACCCAGCTTGAGAGAGAGAGAGAGAGAGAACATCAACAGAAACAACAAAGAAATAAAAATCAGTATCATATGTAGAAAGGAAGAACACAATAGTAATAAATCTAAAATAAATTCATCAATTGTAAGCATATTGTATGAGATCATTTAAAACCTAATTATAAACTACTTATAAAAGGAAAAACAAAGTAACCTGACAAATTTTCTGTGAACATGGTTAAAATGAGTAGCAAAACTTGACAGTAAGCAAACATTCTAAAGATTCTATTGTTGGTATAAGTCATAATAGAATTTAAAATCAAAAATATAACCTAGATAAAAGAAAAAATAATATCAATATTTATGTCAAAGAGTTTAACAGGATAGACATAGAAAGTAGAAGAAGATGGGATAGGACAGGAGCCGACCATAGAGGGCCTCTAAAAGACTCTACCCGACTATCAAAGCAACTGCTAACACTTATGGCCAAATTTTGAGTAGAGTGAAGGAAATGTTATAGAAGAAAAGGAGATAGCAAGACCAGGAGTGGAAAGAAGCTCCACAAGGAGACTAACAAAGCCAAAAAATATGAGCCCCGAGGAGCTGCAGAGACTGATAAATTAACAAAGGACTATGCATGGAGAGGATCTGGACCCCTGCTCAGATATAGTCCATGGGCATCTCAGTATGCATGAAGTCCCTTTCCTGTTTTTTTTTTTTTCTATCACTTACCCCTGGCAAGGTGGCCTTACGAGGTTACAGACAAAGAATATCCAGGCAGTCCTAATGAAACCTGATAGAGCAGGGTCAGATAGTAGGGGAAGAGGACCTCTCTTATCAGTGGAGAAGAGGAGGGATATGGGAAGGAACAGGGAGGAGGTGGGACAAGGATGATGAGGGAAGGGGTTAAAGTTGGGATACAAAGTGAATAAATGCAATAAATAATATTAATATTAATAATACTCTTTAAAAAGCAATGTCTCAATGCTCTGGATGCCCTCTCTAGGATCTCCTAGAGTTACATGGAATCTGTGACCAGTGGAATGTGGTACCTAGTGAGGAAACATTCTAAGCTTCTCATGTGGTAATATAAGCAGCAGGGGTTGATGAAATTGCTAGAGAACTTAGATTGTAATCCTCAGCACTTAAAAAGCCATATGTATGAAACCAGGCATGACACCATAGATCTTTAATCCCAGCACACAGAAGCAGAGTCACATGGCTGTCTGATATCAAAGCCAGATTAGTATACATAGTTCCAGGCCAACTAAGACTACATTGTAAGACTCTGCCTCTAAATAAACAAACAAATAAATAAATAAATAAGGAAGGAAGGAAGGAAACAAAAGTCATGCATGATCACACCTGTGTGTTTAATCCCAGTTCTGTGGAGGACAAAAAAGTATCTTTGAGACTTGCTGAGCTGCAGCCTATGTCCAGATTCCTTGAAAGATTGTACCTCAAGGAAATAAAACAAAAATGGTAAGGC